CAGGTCCCATATTATCCAAAATATATTCCAGGAGTCCTTAAAAGTTGCGGTGATGTATTTTGAGGGTACGTTCCGTCTATTTGGTCGTTATGATTGAAAATTCTCTTACTTTAATAAATACGGAGAACTAAATTTCACATGCATAATCATTATTTTATTAAATTTAACTAAAAGTCTTCAATTGATCAGAGTAAAAGGACTTTTAATCTAATGCCTAAATTGAGAGAATGTACCCTCAGAATATAAAATTATACCGGAGTAAATTTTAAGAACCTCGAAGTATATTTTGGATAATGTAGAACCTGAGTGTTCTTACCAAAAAAATCAAGGGTACTTCAGACTATATTTCGAATAATATAGGACCTGAGAATTATTACGAGAAAAAAAGGGTACTCGAAGTAAACTTTTGAAAAAATTATCCAAAACAGTAGTTAACAATAATCAAATACTGACTTTATGATGTTTTATGTAAAGAAAAAAGTGATTTGGTTTAGAAAGTCATTTTGGATAGGAATGGTACATTGGTAGTTTGGTACGGCAAAATTGATTTTGGGTAAGAGAGGTATATGGTGGATATCATTTTGAATACAGGAATGCTAGGGGTACACTAAAGGTGTACCTAGACCTGACAAAACTGACCCGAACCCGATAACCCGAACCGAATAACCCGGAATCGAACCCGATTTGACCCGAAAACTGAAGACCCGAATTAGAACCGAACACCCAAAATGATCCGAATCGAACCCAAACCCGAATCGAATGTATTCAGACCCGATTCAGATCCGAATCCGATTAAACCCGAACCGATTAAACCTGAACCGATAAGACCCGAACCCGGTTAAACCCGGAACCGATTAGACCCAAAATTGATTAAATTTTATGAACGTTCGTGTTAAATAATAAAATAACTACGGAGTATATCATAAATTGATTAAATTTATTATGTGATATTATTGATTTATTAGTAAATATTTAAAATATATCTGAATTAATATAAACCTAAATCGATACAAACCTGAATCGATATAAACTCGAACTGATACAAACCTGAACCGATACAAACCCGAACTGATATAAACCCGATCCGATACTAACCCAAACCGATACAAACCCGAACCAAAACCGAACCGAAACAAAAAACCAGTCAAACCAAAATAAACCCGGAACCGAACTGACCCGAATCGAACCGTCCCGAATCGATTATAACATATATCCGAATGAGACCCAACCGGAACCGAACCGATTGACCCGATTGCCAGGTCTGGGTGTACCCCATTTGTCCCCCACCCCCTTCTTCACTACACATTTTTATTTGATTTTAAATTATTTATTTATTTTTAAATTTTTTGTCCATTTATGTGGTAGAGGAGGGGGTGGGGGATAAATGGGTACACCTTTGGTACAGGTGTACCCCTAGCATTTTTCTTTTAAATAAGAAAGGTGTGTGAGTGTGTAGTCATTATTACGAAAATAAGAACATGTTGAGAATGCAACCTAGTCCCATTACCAAAAAAGAAAAATAATTAAACCTCAATAAATAGGTCCAATCCAAATTCAGATATTTACGTGGAAATCAAATTAGTGAAAATCACAAGATAAACACAGAGAAATTACTAAAATAGAAGCTTCATGTTTTTTACCATCTAAATATGAGTACCCAATAATGTGTCAGAGTAAATAAAACCATTATTGGGCTACAATCACAAACTTAAGTTTTGATTGAGTTAATTCCTTGGCATGTTATTGAAGTCTTGAAGACCAAAGAGTATACAAAAACCAATATTCTTGGATCACAATAACAAGGTTACGCTTGAAAAGTCACGCTTGAGCTTTTGGTTGAGTATACTCAAAAAAGTCATTTTTGCACGTGAGGGGGCGTGTTAAAATATATGTAAAAAAATTTTGGACCACAATCATAAGCTTGAGCTTTTTGACTGCATCGGCTCGTTGCATGACATAATGGCAATATATAATACCAAAAAATACAATGAGATACATGCCACTATCCAATATCAGTGCAAACTTCTATTTTGGAGATAAAAACATAAAAATCTTAATAATAAGATAAAAACTTTTATCTTATTATTATTATTATTATTATTATTATTATTATTTAGAGTAAAATTTCCAAAATGGTTCTTGTAATAAGGTGTTTTCCCAATTTAGTCCCCAATAAGTTTTAATTACCTACATGGTCCTCTATAATTGAGATTTATTCTCAAGATAGTCCATCGTAAATAATGTTACTCAAATGATGATTAATTGGAAGATGTTTTGGTATTTTGATCATTCAAATTTAAAGTATATTCCCAAAACAGCTATTCCTGTACAACTAAATGTAAAATTGAATAAATACATTGACTATAAATAATTCATTAATTATTTAAAAGTTATAAAAAAATCTTTTAAATTTCAAATCAAATACACATCTTTAATTAGAAAAAACCATTTGGGAAAGCACTTCTTTAGAAATTATCATTTTAAGAATTAATTCTAAATTTAGCGGATAAAATACCAAAAATACTCTCAATTAATCTTCATTTGAGTAACATTGTTTACGAAGGACCATCTTGGGAATAAATCTCAATTACAATAGTCCACATAGGTAATTAAATTCTAGTGAAGACTAAATTAGAAAAATCACTTTATTACGAAGGACTCTTTTAAGAATTTACCTTATTATTTATGAGGTGTTTGGGACTTGGGAGAATGAGATTAGGTGGGAGAGGAAGCTTCGTGGAAGGGAATAGAATAATGGGGTAAGGGACTAAACTCTGGTGACGTTGACGTCTTTGAGAAAAAAAACAAAAACGCCAATTAAGTAACAACTCCCACCCATGTTCACTCCCGCTCTAGCGAACCTTCCTCGAAACCTGCTTATGTTTCCCCCCCTTCAACTAACTAACTATTCTCTTTCCTCCGTCCTACAATGTTCTCTACAATGTTCTTTACGTTGCTATTTATGAGGTTTGAATGATTCTATTTTCGATTTAGTTTATTTTATTTTAAGTGTAAAATTTAAAAATAAAATTTTTGTATTTAAAAACTACATCAAAAATTCTAAAATACAAAAGGTGATAGGACTATACGGATTATAATTTTATCAAATAACTAACGAAATTAAAGTAGGTGAATAAAGTTATAAAAGTTGGAGCATGTGAATAGTAACTGGAAGAAGGATGGAGTAATATTTTTGACTCTTTTTTCATCCACATTTTGCTTACATACTCCTAAAAAGTACATTTCAAAAAACTTTCTTCTAATTATTATTCACATAGTCAAATTTAGCCATTTTCTTTGTATGGGTAATTTCTTAAGTAAGATGATATTGTCATGTCATCCATTGTTTTAATTTGTAGCATTTTTTTTTGTAATTTTCAAATAAGTACTCTTTTTTGAAAATTAAATCAAATAACTTCGGTCAATTCTCATAAACGAAAAAAGGAACAATGTTTTAAAACAGAAGGAGTAATAATCTGTTAGATATTTCTTCTGTCTCATAACATTTTTTATACAATGTACGTACTTTTCTTTTTAGAGCTCGATCATGAAAAAATTAGTGAAATTTACAATAAATAGTACTAAAACATATGTTCTATAGTACTTAAATTTTTTTATTCCCTAAAAAGTACTTAAATAATGTCTAGCGACGGGAACAATGTGAACATTTAGTTTGAATAATGTCTAATGGCGGTGGAATGATCAGTGGACATTGAACATTGATACTAGCGACGAGAATAATGTCCAGTGATGGTGGACATTTTTTACTTGAACAATGATCAGTGGACATTGAACACTGATACTACATTGAGAAAATAAAATCATATGATACTACATTTGGAAAATCACTATGTTTTAGTACTATTTAGGTAAATTCTCTAAAAAGGGCTAATTTACTTATATATGACTAAAATATAATGACTTTTTCAATATATGACTATATGTTTTTATTCCCAATGTAGGATCATTGGTCATTATCTATTAATCATTATTCAACTAAATGTCCAGCATCACTTGGATATTATTCTTCTCACTAGTCATTATTAAGTCCTATTTAGGAAATAAAAAAATTTAAGTCCTACATTAAGAAATGACTTATGTTTTAATTCTATTCGGTGTAAATTTCACTACTTTTTACCTTTTAACAATTTTCTTAAGTTCCACTAAATACAAGTGTCAAGATTTTTTTTTAAACGGATGAGGAGAATGAGTGAAGGGAGTTTTTCATTTATCATAAGATATACTCCGTAATGAGAATAAAATAAAAACTCTTTTTATTAGCCCAAAATGTAACTCTTCAAACTCTTGTTTAGCAAACACTCCACGTGTACTGGAAGTTCAGTTAGATTAAATTTTTAATGCCATTTCGGTGGCCATCCAAGGTGTAACGTTACTTTGGGTTAAGTAGTGTTTGGAGTGGCGAACATTTACTTGAACAACGACTAATGAATAATGACTAAAATCATTAGTTTTTATACTTCCAACTTAATACATTCATTTTCTAACATTAATTATATCCCTTTATTGTTTTTGTTAGTTTGGATTTTCAATAGACACTTCATTATGTTTTGTATTTATGATTATATATTCCCATTTTACATTTCAGAATTTTTTTTTATTTTTAAGAGTTTCAATGTATTGTGCGTCATTAGATTGAGAAAAAATAAACAAATATTCATTATAATAAAGTCAATGGTACATAAAAATAATCATACTCAGTAGTATTTAATTTTTCGAGTTTTAATTTATTAGTCAGCTTCTGTTATTAGAAATGCTTCCTTTATTTACTCTCTTTTATGCTCTATTATTCTCTTAAATCTTTAATTAATTGATTGTTCTATTATTCCAACAAATAACACTAAAAAAACTCTTAAATACAAATACTTCTTCCACCCAATGAAATATTCATCTTATCCTTTTTAAAAGTAATATTGGGTGATTCACAAAAAATAAAAAGAATCGTATTTCTCTGTATAAATCTTAACTTTAAAGTTTAATTCTAAACTTGGTAAAAAATCAAAGTAAAAAAAAGTTTAATTTGAGATGGAGAGACTATATATATGGGTGGCGCCTGGCATCTCCGCTCCGGGGCTGCAAGAGAGAGTAATTAAATTTGTATTGATCAGTAAAAAAAACAGAGCGCCGGAGATGATGAAGGAGGCTGCGGTGGGCGGCGGCGGCGGCGGGGTGGAGAGCGGGCGGAGGGAGGAGGAGTACCAGGACTTGCTGGCGGTGATGGCGGAGAAGCTGGACGTGGAGAGCTTCGTGGGGGAGCTGTGCGGCGGGTTCCGGCTGCTGGCGGAGGCGGGGACGGGGCTGATCACTCCGGGCAGCCTCCAGAGGAACTCGGCGGTGCTGGGGATGGAAGGGATGAGCAAGGCGGAGGCGGAGGCCATGGTGACGGAGGGCGACCTCGACGGCGACGGCGCCCTGAACGAGATGGAGTTTTGCATACTAATGGTGAGACTGAGTCCGGAAATGATGGAAGAGGCAGAGGAATGGCTTGACAAGGCACTCCAATCTCACCTCCCCACTCCTACAAATTAATTTAATCCCCAATTAATTAATAATTATTATTATTATTATTAATGTCAAAAATTAAATGTATGTGTCAAAATTTTAGTTTAGTAGTAGTACTACTACTTTGTCATTATTCTCTCTTTCTTCTTCTTTTTTTCTTTTGTTTTGTGAAGAAAAAAAATGTGTTTTTCGGTTTTCTTTTCGATCCGTCTCATGAAGATGTATTTGTTTCTATCTTTCAAAATCTAGTGTGATCCGCGGTGTTCATCTTTGTTTTGAAAAATCTTCAGAGCGTTTATTTCTTAAGAAAGACGGAAAGTCTCAAGTTTTAATGTGTTTTTTACGTGATTTCATTCCTTAAATGTCTGGCACTTATATCACAAAAATTACTCCCTCTATCCAGAAAATTCTTTCTCGTTTTGACTTAACACGAAGATTAAGAAAAGTTTAAAAATGTAAAAATTTTCCATGTTTATTTTTTATGAAATGGAATATTGTGAATAACGTAGATAAAAAGTAGGGGTGTAAGGGTACATTCATTAAGATTTTGTTGCCAAAATAGCAAATGGGAAAGAAATTTTCGGATGATCCAAAAAGAAAAATGAGAAAGAAAGTAATGGACAGAAGGAGAATAAAATAAGATGTGTGGAGAAAACAATAAGTGTGTTCATACTCTTGACTTATACAATAAGTCATACTAATATTAAACAATGTTTGAAATAAACTACATGCAAAGTCAATAGCAAGATATTACTTTGAGTTTGAACATGGAAAGCTTAAAGTCTTCTAAAAAGATGAATATAGATACTTAGTCCTTGTTTGGGAAGAACGTTTTCAATTAGTATTATCGTTTTAGATAAAATACTAACGATATAGATTAATTCGAAAAACGCTAACGCTAAATGCTACCGTCAGATAGCCTTCTCAAAATGTTAACGTTAATCTCTAACGGTGATGCCAAACGGGGCCTTAGTGTATTGAAATTCACTGAGATATGTGGACACAATGTTTAAAATATACTCCGTAGTCCGTACTATGTATTCAATATAAACCGATAATTCTATGATACTTCTATTTTTTAGCACGTTCCAAATAAATTCAAAGGAATAATGAAAATATATACCAATTATACAAAAATAATTAAAAAATGAAATACTTCGTCACATTTACATATCAATATCGACCAGACTTAGTATATTTCATTGGTTCCATCAATAAAAATAGTAAAATAATACTCACATTTAAAATATAGACATTCGTTAAAATTACTTCGTTTATGGCAAAAAAAAATAATTTTAAGCCTAAAAATACAAATGATCTAGCAATATTAGATGTAAGCCAAGTTTTGAGAACAAAATTATCTAATTACCATAAAAATGAATAAATTTAGCCAGCAAAGATATTGGTACTTAAAAAGTAATTTTTTGCAATTTTAATGTTTGCTAACGACGCTTTCAAAATACTTCGTAAAATGTTTGCTGATGACTTTAAGTGCTTAAATAGTCATTGATGAACATTTCTCAATATGCTTTGGAAGTACTTTTCAACTTAATTTTACTGACTTTCTCCCTTCCATAATAATCTAATAAAGATTATTAGATACATTATATTTTAAATAAATGTAAACTTAAATATATCTACACTCATTCGAAATCTGACAAACTTTTATAGATAATTATTGTGAAGTGGAGGAAATAATTACTATGGAGTATGAGATGCCACACAAGTAACAAATATTGAACTTGTGTAAACTTTGGATTACTTCTTCCATCTCAATTTAAATTATGTGTTTCAATTCTAAATGTTTAACTCAAGAGAATTAAAATATAGACTTTACATACTAAAAAATTACATAAAAAATTCTACAAAACAAAAAAACTGACATGACTACATTACTTAAGTAAATAAGCAACAAAAATAAAAAAAGAAAGTAAATAAAATTTAACTGCGTAAATAATAAACAAATTCTCCGTAACAAAACTAAGAGAGTACATTTTGGCAAAAATATGAGTTCAAAAGAAGGCCACATATGCCACAATTCCAGCTAAGGATGTTATCACATGTCTACACTCCACTCACTAGTGAGCCAATGAAGTTGGGAAACAATCCATATAAGTTCATGAGATTACCAACACAATAGTGCACCTATAAGTAATAACCATGGCCAAAGTCAAGAAAATACCACAAATTGAACAAAATAGGGCTATTCATAATCCAACAATACCTATAATAAGATCCAAAATGCAGCTTCAAAAACACACTAATTGGTTCTAAAAGTTGAATTCATCAAATTTACCCAAAGATAAAACATACCCCGAGTGCAATTTACATTAGTAGAGTCATAAAGCGTCGTCGCACAAATCTTGATCCCATTCTAGAAGAACTACCTGCGGTGCCTTCCATAGTCGGGGCTCCTGGCTCGCTCATACACGGGGCCAGTGTAACGGTCATAGACCGGGCTCCGCGGGCGCCCGTAATCAGGGCTGGGTCGGTTTCTGCGGTATATTGGGCTTGGTGACCTTCTATATGGAGGAGGGCTCTCCACTCCCCCACGCCTGCCGTAGTCTCTTCTAGGAGGGCTGTCAAGCCTATCGCCCCTCTCATCATCATCTCTCAGGGCATACTCAACGGAAACCACTCTGTCGAGTATCTTGCTGCAGATAAAATAACAACTTTGTGTGAATTTTTTTGTGTAAAAATAATCAGAACTGCAATTCTTTAAAAAAAATTATTCACATTACCTCATATGAGTGCACTCCAGAGCTTTTGTTGCCTCTTCCTGGGTTTCAAACTGGACAAATGCGAAATTCCTCCGAATCCGGACGTGGTGGATTTTTCCATAAGGCTCAAAGTGTCTCTCTATGTCACGGACTCTAGTCCGATGAGGATCAAAATTGATCACAAACAGAGTTTTGGTTGGCCTCTGATTTGCCACAGCCTTGGATCCCTCACGATGTTTGTTTCCACGCTCCCCCTGAAAAGGATAAATGTGACAAAAAGAAGGAATTACTATTGTTGAAATTAGACAAGAGTGGCCATGAGAACAGAATACTGCATACCCTTGCCCATTCCACTGATAGCCTGCGTTTGTCATACCCAAATGCAACATTGTCCAAATGACGAATAGCATCAGCAGCATCACGCTCATCATCAAAGTAGACAAAGGCAAACCCTGGCGTTAAAATAACATCCGATTAACAAAGGGCATGTAGAGGCACCAAGGGCAGTTCATGTCTTTAACAGCAGACAATGTGACATGTAAATTACAATTCACTCCCTGAGCAGAATGCAATAATGTACGACACCTGCAAGCATGTGAAGGACTGAAGAAAGCAAGGATGTAGAGGCATTGCAAGAAGAAAATGATGAATGGGTTGCTTATTTAAGGGCTTAAATCCAAGATTGTCAGTTCTGCATAGTCATCGCTAAGAATGCTTCACCGATTTCACAGCACGAGTTCAGAATAAGTATGGCATGGCATAATATAAATCATTGATCCTCTTTTAACTTAGTGGTGATGGTGGTAGGCATGGCATGATGCACCAACAGACAGTATTCCAAAATAACAGTTCTTGTGAAATGCTGACATGGACATTGATGTGGGTGGGTGGACAATTAACTGAAGGTCGTGTAAAGAAATGTAGACATGTGCACAATTCCATCCATGAGTGGAAGGAGGGAGCAGGCAATCAGTGAATCAGAGAAAGGTTTCCATTGCTTTAGAATGTTATTTTTGCAGACAAGTGGTGAGCCAAATGTAGAAGCTCATTTTCCATTAATAGATGTTCCTGCGCCAAAACAAACACTTAAATACGGCTAATCTTCACTGGAGAAATTTTAAAATTTGTCCCCAATTAGATCTCTCACTCTCTTGTCACATTTTCAGAGATCATTTTGGTACACAATTATAGGCAGCCAAAACTGAATATTTTATTCATCTGCATTTACAGTATGCCCAGTTGTGCCCTTCATCAACATTAGACATATAAAGACCTATTAACTCATTTAAAAGTGAACAACATTCTCTGCGGATTCTAAACAAAGCAGAGTCACGACATTTGATTCTCGATAAGTACAACAAGCAGAGCAATTCTAAACCTTACTACTGAAGGATCTCATTTTCTCACCAAAAAAACGGTCAAACCAAACACAAAGGTCAAGTTAATGTTCGGGTTTGGTTCCTTTGGGTTCGGATTACTTAGTGTTAGTCAACCCAACAAGTTAAGAGCAATTATATTTAAAATACTTAAATTTATGCTAGCAATGGGATTTTGAATTAAAATGATAAAAAATATCAACCTGTATATAGATAATTATATATTTAAGCTATTCTAATATTTTCTTTTGAATTTTAAATAATTATAATATATTTACAACAATATATTATGATTATTAGTAAATCATACAAATTTGACCAAATAAGGTATGTGACAAAAGTATATGGACGTATCAAAAAGTAGCAAGGAACAAACAATAGAACAGGAGTACATGATTTTGTATAAACAATCCCATAACAGGTAATGCCTGGTTGGGTTTGACTGATTTGTGGCGGATTATTTTGGTTCCGGTAAGCAAAATATTTGTTTGAAGAGAGTGTGTTTGGGCTAGGTCTTGGATGGAAAACAGGCCGGACCAAATTTTTTGAGGTCTATGACGATATCACTCAACATATACTGAAAGACCCAGGCATTGACATCAAAACTACAATCACACTACAAACTGTTGTTTCATAACAAGATCACAAACTTTTGAGTTGTGGTCTGAGAATCTACAGAACCTGACCCAAAAAATTCTTCAAGCTCATTTAACATTTCGAAATGATGAACGAATACATTCACCCAACCACAAAGCAAGCAGAAATATAACAATCTATACACTGATCAATCGAAATTTACAAACAAAAGGGCTCTCGCAACCGTACCAGATTTCATGTCGACACGATCGACTCTTCCATACTTGGAAAACAAGCGCTCCAGATCCGACTGGCGAGTCTCGTACTCGAAATTCCCCACGAAGATCGGCCTCATCTTCTCGCTCGAACAACAAGATGAACTGCGTAAGAAGCGATTCAAGCAAATAAGAATCCACAGAAGAAAAAAACAGATTATATGCAATAAAACGATAAAAATCATCGATTAACTGGGAAATAAACGAGACAATCCAGACGAATAAACCAGGAAAATGAGAGAACGGGCGTGAAGAAGTTTACCTTTGTCACAGCGGAGACAAAACCCTAAGAACTGAAGGAGATATGATTGAAACGAATCATTTGTGAAATTGGAGCTTAAATAACGAATCAAAGCCCTACCCGCTTTGGGCTCGTGGATTGGAGAAGTTGGGTCTAATGGATAATCGGTGGCCCAATCCAAAAGTAAATACGGACATAACTTCTTACTTTTGGTGTACAATTCTTAGTTTTTGAATCGAGTTTGTGTTCAGTTAAGTTTGGATTAGAAACGGTAGGCTCATGGTTAAATTGAACTTGCACTTGTTTTACATTTAAAACATGATAAATTATCAATGTATAAATATTAAGTGATCAAAAATGTTTATTTTAAAATTTTAGTTGATTTTTTGGATACTTACAGCAATATTATAAATACTTCATCCGTTGCATAATTATTTTTCTTCTTTCCTATATGAGTTGTCCCAAAATTTTCTTCCTCTTTCATTCTAAGAAAATAAATATGTGGTCCATATCAATTCTCTTTCATCTACACAAATCACAGCCACAACATTATACTTTTTTAGAAATCATGTCAAGTTAAATTCAGAAGATAGTTTCAGGATTGAGGAGTAATATAAATAATTTAAATACACATAATTTTTGAAGAAAAAAAGTAGGGGGCACGCCTCGATAGACACAACGTGAGGCGGGCGTGAAGATGGGGACACATCCTGGGATCAAACCCCATAATTGATTGTCTAAGACTATACGTTTGATAACATTTTGAACTTTATAAGTTTGTCCAATCACATTCTTTCAATTTATTCGGGTATACTTTGACCGAACACGATATACAAGAGAGTCATTACTAAAATAGTTTGAAAATTAGAAATTTATTTGAATTCTTAGATTTCGTTTCTAAATTTCGAGAGTCAAAATTTAAGTACGAGTAAATTTTATAAATCATCCCTAATTACATATAGTTTTATACATTTAGTACCCAATTAAAAGTTATTTTATAAATGATCCTTCATTTTTAAAAAATATTTCTTAAATAGGCCTTAAAGCCAAATATGACAAAATATTTTTCTAGAAATAGTTCCTAAAATATCGATAATAGACTAGTTTTAAAAATTTGAGAACTATTTATGTAATATCTTATAGTTAAGAATTAAATACGATAAAATACTTATAATCAGGGACTATGTATGAAAATAAGGAAAAATGTATAAATTTGCAATCGTCAGCAATTAGATGAAATGTGACCGAATCCAAATTTTTTTTGGATGGTCAAACATGTAATTTGACTTAAATTTGAAATTACAATACAAATTTAAAAATTCAAACAAGTCATTAATATTAAAATATTGCAAAAATTATTTCTTTTAAAAAGGATTTTTGCTTTGAAAAAAGAGAAAAAAGACTCATTTTGTTCATATTTTTGTGTAATTTGTAGTGAATAGGATTAAAACATAAGTCATTTCCTAGTGTAGGAGTTAAACTTTTTTATTTTCTCTAAATAAGACTTAATAATGTCTAGTGAGAAGAAAATGTCCAAATGATGCTAGACATTTAATTGAATAATGACTAATATATAATGACCAATAATCCTACATTGGAAAATAAAAACATATGGTCCTATATTTAAAAAATCATTATATTTTTAGGTATATTTAAGTAAAAATTTTTTAAATTAAAAAGGTAAGATTAAAATAGATAAGGATATGGATTAAAAATGGATTACACTCCCCATTAAAAATGGATTAAAATAGATAAGGATATAGATAAATTCAAAAGGTAAGATTACACTCCCCCTCCCCTTCATCCTTGAAAGCTCGCTGGTGAAGAAGAAGCTAAACCAGCCATGGCGGCCACACTCAGCCTCCTCAAGCTCCCCATCCTTCCCTCGTCAAAGCACCAAAAACCCATCGCCCCAAACCCAATTTCTTCAACACCCATCAACCCAAATCTCCCCCAAATCCTCCTCAGACAAACCCCAATCCCCCCGCTCAAGCCCGCCGCCCTCCTCCCTCTCAGTTCCATCGCTTTCACTCTCATGTTCGATGCTCAGGCATCTCTCTCTTCACGTTTTGTTCTTCCGATCTGAATCGTTTTCCCGGTTTTGTTCTAATTTCATTTTTTTGAAATTGCCGGCAGGATGCGGCGGCGGTCGGCGGGGAATTCGGGATTCTGGAAGGGCGGAGCTTTGCTCTAATTCACCCGATTGTGATGAGCGGGCTGTTTGCTTACACCTTGTACGCCGGATACCTCGGCTGGCAGTGGCGGCGCGTGCGCACTCTGCAGGAGGAGATCAGTGAGCTGAAGAAGCTGCTCCGGCCAGTTGCCACCGCCGTATCCCCTTCTGAACCCTCCCCTGTTGAATCCAAGATTCAGCAACTTACTGAGGTAAATTTCATCCTTTTCACCCTCTGCAAATGTGTGGGTATATCATTGTTTTTTTACTCAGAGATTTTCTCTTTGTGTTTGCTCTCTGCTACTTCCTTGATATTTCTTTGGGTGTGCTTTGTGTCTACTTTGTTTATTTACATTGAATTGTGCTTGAGTAGGATCTGCATATCTAGTCCATCTCCTTATTAATGGTGTCGATTAACTTGGAAAACGCTAAAGCTAAATGTTGAGCATAAAAGTCTCACATCGAAAGACCAACTAAAAAACTACTCCGTACTACATAATATATAAGAATATGAATAAATTCTCCCATCGTCAGTTGGTTTTGAGATGGATTCTCACAATTCTACTATCACAGTGTCTATGCTTGGTATATATGTCTTCTCTCTGCAAGAAACCATGAATGTTAAAGAATGTGAATGTGGCTTACAAATGGGTACATGATTCATCAGGAGAGAAAGGAATTGGTGAAGGGCTCATTCAGAGACAGGCATTTCAATGCCGGTTCCCTACTGCTTGGGTTTGGGGTGTTTGAGGCCATCTCTGGAGGACTTAACACCTGGCTTAGGACCGGGAAGCTTTTCCCAGGGCCTCACTTGTTTGCAGGGGCAAGTAAGTTTTTCTGTGTTCTTTTTTTTTTTTCTCCAACATAATTAGAACTCTGCACCATAGAAAACTAGCAAGCTAACTATAGAAAACCTTTCCTGTGCCTAGAATCACAAGCTTGAGCTTTCGGTTAAACTGGTTCTTTGACAACGTGTTTTTAACTCCGGTGGCAGTGAGTTTCGAACTCGTGACCTCGATACCATGTCAAGGAACCAACCTAGCGAAAAGCTCAAACTTGGGTTTGTGGGCCCGGGAATGTTTTATACTCCCTCCGTCCCAGTGTATTTGTCAGTTTGACATTTTCGAGTCAAAATGGACAAACTTTGAGCTTCAAATAAATAAAAACCGTAACGTATTTTGACATAAAAATGACTTTATTGGATTTACCGTATTGAGAACTTTCAAAATTGTATTTCATTATGCTAATATGCAATATAAATTGAGAGTAATTGGAGTTCAAAGTTTGTCTAGTTTGACTCAAAAAAGTCAAACTGGACAAATACATTGGGACGGAGATAGTACATTCTAAGTATATCTAACACAAACAACTCGAAAATATTTGTGCATTTTTGTATCGGCCCTCTCTGTCTCATGAATAGAACTGATTGAAACGCATCCTCACGGCGTCCTTGTGGTGACATGACTATATTATCTTATCAAATGAGTAACGAAAATAAGCTAACAAAGTGAATAAAGTTTTACATAAAACTGATTGAAACGCATCCTCACGGCGACCTTGTGGTGTTTCTTTTGAATTTCAAACAGCAATCACCGTCTTGTGGGCGGCGGCGGCGGCCCTAGTGCCTGCAATGCAGAAGGGAAGCGAAACCGCTAGGAGTCTTCACGTCGCGTTGAACGCGTTGAACGTTCTCCTCTTCGTGTCTCAAATCCCCACCGGAATCGACATTCTCTTGAAGGTCTTTCAGTTCACCACCTGGCCTTAGTAGGGTTCTTGTGTCTCTAATTTGAAGGTACATTCCCATGAGTTGTAGGGTATATGTTCATATAAATGAGTGTATGGACTGGACTTTCTTATGGCACACATACATCTTTGGAATTTCAGTCTATCAACAAATATTGACATGTCCACTGCAAGAAGTTTTGAGACTCTTTCAGACTGTTGCATTTAACTATTTCATATTCTTATTTAGACTTTTAGAAAAAATTACCCTAAACCTCACTTCTTTGTCACATCAGCATTTCACTATCTTTTATTTCAATAACTTTTATTTCTATTTACTCAATTATCTAACATATAATAGTATTATACATTCACTTTACTTCCAAATTTATGTTTTTACTCCATACTTGTTATTGATTGCACGTGTCAGACTTTCATTGGATAAATTGAGTTGCAAGTGAAGCAACGTTCTGTTTAATTTATTTTTCTACTTATTACTTATTCTTATTATAATCAGATCAGACCAGAGCAGATCAGATCAGAAATAGCTTTAATTATAATTGCAAGCAAATAAGATGAAATCTTGAAAAAATTAGATCAGATCGAAACAGTCGAACGTAATGCAACTTGAGTCTGACATTTTAAAAGACTTTCTTCCAGACTTTCTGCAAAAGTGACGAGAATATGAGAGTATGAATCTTTATCCTTTTTTTTTCTATACAAAGGTAAAAGAAAATTGTGAATAGTGTTTCAGCCCAAAAGTAGGTGAACAGTGTTCGGGTACATATTGGGTTTAAATGGGCTTCTGTAATTGGGCTTCGTAATAGGCTGATGGATGGGCAAACTTCTCAGCAGAGAGTGCGCAATCAACAGAGCAGATGTGCAAATTGGGCTGAAAAGGTGATGGGCTGAGAGTTGTGAAATTGGAGAGAGGCCTGACCCAGAATCTATGTGTTGATTAAGAATAAATGGATCACATATAATAAAACACAATTAACTCTAATCTTACTGATTTTTTTTACCCATATTCTAATTGTCTCTTAGAGAATTAATAAATTCAATATTAATGTACATTAATTTGGATAATAGAGTTTTAATAAAGTTAATACTTGGTTCAAATTACGTACGAATATGAATCTGGTATCAATCAACAATCTCATAGGTTATGAAATCAATCGACCAAGTTCTTTACTAATTGGCTTATGAAATAGGCACCAAATGACATTAAAGAGACAACATTAGAAGCAATATGCAATGCTGCTTAATCATCACATTAGAGATGTTTGGGAAGTGAGCACACTCACAATGATTGCCATTGCGTGATATTCAGCTTTGATCGATGAGCGAGAAATGCCAACCTACGTCTTTGTCCACCATGAAACTGAAAAAATGACTTAACACAACAAAATACTGAATAAAGAATGTTGGTTTCGCGGATAACTTGTCCAATCAGAATCGTAGTAAGTATAGTGCCGAGATCACAATCAAAAGAGAGGGAAATCCCTTGACAACGACTCCCATTCAAGCATGATTCTCATTCAAGCATGTTGGGAACAAATTTAGTCCCACACCAGACGTAAGAAAAACATTGGACAACAAAAATATAGCCCCACAGTCTATGTGTATAGTATGTATGACGTGTTGGTCCCTACATAAAAGATAGGAACCTATTATGAATGTCGTGTGGGTGTGTTAGAGTTACACCACCTTAACTAAATATAAACAACGAAATGCCAGAGTCACATACAGAAAGTTCAAAAAATATACAAACTTACCATATTAACATCTCACTAAGAACAATCCATTAAAATAATTAAAAAATATTTGAAATTAAAATTCACAAAAGACAAGTTTATAAATTTTGTGAACCCATTATGTAGGCCGGGTGGACTTCCAATTCTTTCCAATTCTTTTCAGTTTCTTCTAGTTTTTTTCACTTTCTTCCAATTCTTTCCAATTTCTTCCAACTATTTTTATTTTCTTCAGACTTTTTCTACTTCCCGACCAATTATTCTAAAAAAGATATATTATTATTATTATTATTATTATTATTATTATTATTATTATTATTATTATTATTATTATTATTATTATTATTATTATTATTATTATTATTACACCTATTATGTTCATAACTATAGCTTATAAATTATTTCATTTTTTCATCTCACTATTTTTATGATTCACACTAATTATTTTTTTTCTTCAACTTTTTAAAATGAATAATACCATTTTTGTATATTAATCTACAAGGTAAAATAGGAAAACATCAATATTTTAAACTATTTAAAAAGCTATGGATAAAATAGTTACATAAAATGTTTTTAATCTAAATTTATATAAGGAAAGCATTAATATTTTAATCTAAAATATAAAAATGGAATGGGGTGGGGAGTAATACATTAATAATTTATAACAACAAAAATTAGAATGAGAATAATATAAAAATACACAAAAAATTTAAAGTTTTTTTAGATTTTCCATTTTTTTCTAGTTTTTTACAGTTTCTTCCAATTTTTCTAGTTTCTTCTAATTTCTTCTATTTACTTCCAATTTCTTCTAACGTCCAGCTCTTTTTTTCGAGTCCTAAATAACAGGGTCTAAACATGAATGATTAAACACTTTAATAAGTAAGAGATAAAATCTCATTTCTTGAAAGTTTATTTTTTTTCCTAGTAAGACTTAACAACTATTACAGAAAATATAAAATTTACATCATAAACATCATAAAATTTTTCATTCCCTAAAAAAATAAAAAATAAAAATTCATATTTTATTATTTACCCAATATTACGGACTACCTAACTATAAATTGGCAAATGAAGCTAGTGGAGGAATTTGTGGTTATGACTAATGAAAAGATTAACATGTTTTTTTCAAAAGACAAAACACTTGTACGGAACAAGTCCAAGAAAGTATGAGTTGGAGTCTAGTGTAACTTTGGTTTCTTTCACAATTATTATTGTCATTAGTCTAATCCCAAGTATCTAACTAACTAAACTATGTAGTCCTCCTTTGATTTAATTTTTATTTTTGTCTTGCCAAAAGTTGTTCCACTTTGTGGGCACTTCCCCATTGGCTCTTGTCTTGCTGGTCTCAACATTGAGGTGGTAGATTTGGGACCATAAAGTTTGATGTATAAAATTTAGTCTCAAAGTGTACATAACCGTCATTCACATATACAATCTTAACTACCATAAGTGTACAAAAGAGTTTAATCATAGTTACCATTAAAATTCTTTCAAAAAAAAGTTACCATTAAAATAAAGGCAAATTCTTCGTGGACCTAAGGTTCATGCTCATTTATTAATCTTAGTTCATTTATGACATAAAAGAAGTGAGACTTTGACAAAACAAAAATTATCTACTTATAAGAGTTAATACTCATTTTGGTCCCTCTAAATGGACTCACGACTCAATTTGGAACCTATGAGTTCATTTCACTCAAATTAGTCCATGTGTATAGAAAATGTGAATAAAGATAGTCCTTCCAATGGAATTTTTCTCCTAAAATTCTCAGTTATCACGTTAATTGACGCAAGATCAATGACTTTGTGTATTACTTTTTGTGTCAATTAACGTGTTAACTTAGAATTTTTGAAGTTAAATTTTTCATAAAAAATTAATTTAATTCATAGTTCCTAGTTACATGGATTAATTTGACTAAAGTGAACTGGCGAGGACCAAATTGACTCGTCAGTGCATTTACAGGGAGTAAAGAAAATATTTTGCTCATGAAAAATGTGGGAAGTTTCACATTTTTAATGCGGACATTCGGATCATGTAAGTATCACTCTAAAATAAAAGTCGACTTTCATCTTTTAATTAAGAACTTACAAACCCGGCTTGACCCAAATTTACAAAACACTCAAAATGCCGTTGTTTGACAACAACTTCACGGTTTTAAAAAACTCACTAGATTTTGTACTCGTGTGTTGAACGGCCATTTATTTATTTAAAATATAAAGAATACAAATTTAATAGAATTAAAGTATAAATTTAAATTAAAATAGAACTAAAAATAAAATTAATGTGACATCCAATTATTTGAATTTATATAAAATATAATTAAATTAGTACAAATTTCAAGGAAATCATTCTGTTATGTCAAAGGACATCTTGAAAAATAATTAAAAATTAAAAAAAATTAAAAATTAAAAAAAGTTATAAAAATAATTTTTTAACTAAAAATAAAAAAACCAAAGAATAAAAATGAAGAAGAGGCAAAGAAAAAATTGAAAAATGAAGAAGCTACAAACACCAAAGGAAAAAAAAGAACAAAAAAAAGTTCAAAAAGCTGCTTTACCAAAATGTGTTGCTTGAACAGTTCTGTTGATAGTTCATCAGAGTTGATAAATGAAAAATAAATGGAAAAATGAAATAGTGTGAGTCTGATAATGTAATTTTTATGGGAACATATATTTATAGTGTGCAAAATACTCCGTAGTTGGGATGTGCAATTCAAAATATTTGCACAGGCATCTTAAGATTTAAAAATCTTGGGTAATTATGCTCATGCCTCAACCTCAAAAGGTGCGTATATTCAGCTCTCCAAGCCACCATCACACTACTCCACATGCAGGCCGCGAATACACTCCCCCTAGTTCAAAAGCTATAATGGCATCACAACTTCCAATCAAGTGTGCCGAATGGTCTTTTACAATACCCAAGCTAAGCCACTTTTATACATTCCCCAGTACAAAATAATAATGATATCATATTTTTCCATAAAATGGCTTTTTCCCATAAAGTAGCCCGTTTCGAGACCTATAATTAATATCACATTGCCCCATAAAATTTTTCTTTCATTTTCCGGTCGACATCACCCATTTCTCTTCCCAATTAATAAACACACTCACCAATGCAAGCTAATTAATATCACATTGTTCCATAAAATTTCATTTCCCCGAAACCAACCCATTTTACACGTCTGCCGGCCCATCTGAGCCTTATAGTTTGAGCGGGAATCTTCACTGTTCATGTTTTACACAAGGGCTCTGTATAGATAAAGATTTGGTTAATAAAAGAGGAAGAGAGTGATTGTTTTATAAAGCAAATATTTTCTTTTAGAATACCGAAGCCAAACCGTCATCACACACTCTCCCATACAAAGTAAATAATATCACATTTCTCTATAAAGTGACTTTCCCCCATCAAGCCCGTTCCCCCATTTCTCCAGTCCATTTCCAACCCGAGCCCAACACATTTAGGCGGGAATTTTCACTGTTCATATTTTACACATTAGCTTTGTATAGATAAAGATTTAATTAAAGAAAATTTTTAGTTTTAACGTTTTCAATGTTAATTTGCGACGGAATAGTTTTCGTGGTAGGTAAC